AGGACAAAAAATGCTCATTTTGAACTCCGTAATGCATTAATAGAGCATTTATGGGAGTAACATAATAATTTTGAAAATTGAGTGTTTATGTAATTGTATGTCACTTTTATTTGAATTTGTCCCCTAATTTATGTATTATATTATATTTTCTTGCAATTTATGTTATTTAAAATTTTAGAATAAAATATAATTTCATATCACATTATAAATTATATTAAGTAAGTATTTGGGAAAAAAGAAATAAAGGATTTATATTATGAAATAAGAAAATAAGAATGAAATAAAAATAATAATATAATATTGAGGTGAGAGAAAAAGATTCTTTTTTAGAGAGTAAAATAGAGAATTGGGTTGGAGTTGGTTGTCTGAAAAAATAGAGAACTCTATATTTGGAGAGTAAAATAGAGAATTGGATTGGAGATGCCCTTAGATAGGGCAAAAAATAGTTTTAAGAGATTGTTCGGTACGATGATGAAATAGATAAAGTTATTTTATAAATTTATAATATTTTATGAGATTAATTATTCATTTTATATATAAAAAAAACTTATCCCATCATTAAGTACTCGCAATATAAATTAATTTAAATATAAAATAAAATAATTTTATATGTTATAGCAAAATTACTACTCATCTTTTATCTTTCATACCAAACGATCAGTAAGAGCAAGAAAGTGACGGGTAAGTGGTGTGCATTTGGTAAATCCAAATTGTTTTAATCAATACTCTTAATAAATTTAAGCTTAACTCTTTTGTTTATAATATGTAATTCATTATAATCAAGTCTGATATGATAATTTTAAAGATTAAACAAAAATATGCTATAGCTAGAATATTATATATTTTTAATAATATTTGCATATATGTAGTTAAATTCTTCGTAGATGCCATATGATAAAACCACACGTTTTTTTTTTCTTACATCACATGTAATATTATTGTCCAAACAAGATAAGGTGAACCTAAGAGATTGTCAAGTAAATTTTGTGAAAAGTTGCATATGGAATTAAATAGTGGTAGATAATATGCATAAAAATGCGCCGCTAACATCAAAACAATCACAAATCATGAGAGCACTAACTAATGGTGCAAGCTATACAAAATATATGCACCACTAGTTTAATTTTTACTATATATAAAACTATCATGAAAAGCTTTTAGCATTATATATAGTATACTCATAGAGACTCAAAAGTTCAAATACTAGATTGCAACTAAAAAAATTCTAAACACATTATACTCCAAGAAAAACAGTTCAAAAGAACTAGAAAAAATCAATATCTATAATATATATGGAAAGAGAGTATTGACGTAACTGGTAAAGTTATTGTCATATGATCAGGAAATCATAATTTTAAGCAATGAAAACGACATTTTACAAAAGTGTACCCTTGTGGTCTTGCCATGATCTCCGGACTCTATGCATAGCTAAAGCTTAGCAGCTTTATATACATGAAAAATAATTTTAACTTTATATATCTATGTAGTATTTTTTTATGAAGAAAGTTCGGATTGATGAATATAATTAACTTATGCCCTTAGCTCCACTCCTACTAGATTGTGACTGGATATATTATTATTATTTTTATTTAATATTCATATTAGAGGTCTGACTAATTCAGATTTATATGCACAGTGTAGTGTAGTGATGGCAAATGGGCGGGTTAAAAATGGGTCAACATAAAATGGGTAATAATTCAATCCGCTCATATTTGATATGGGTAAAATTGGATTGGGTAAAATACTAGTTTATCCATCTTTTCATGAGTAAATAGTACTCTACTTAAGAATTCAACATGGAGAAAATATTTAAGTCTTTTTTTAGATGAAAAATGTTGAAAATGCTTCATTTAGTTTTATTGTATCATAAAAGTAAAAAAAAAAAATCCTATAACTTTTCAATATAAAATAAAATTATGTAATAACTAGGGGAAAATATTTTTAATTTCATAGTAAATGAATATTTGCATTTTAGAACTAAAACATGCTTAATGCACTTTAAGCAATGTCAATACTAATACATAATTTGCTATTTTACACTATTATTTATTATCCAATGTAAAATTAAACAAATAAAAAAATATAATTATAAGTAACAAAAGAAATTACATTTAAAATATATATTTTTGGAGGGCCAAAGACTTCACCTTTTCAATTATAGTGAAAAATAATTAGTTCTATAGAAGAACATAAAAAGCAAGAGAAATTACGATATTTTTAGTGATATCATGAATTTATAGTGAATAAAAGTTAGAATTTTAACCATTTGACTAATCCATACTTTACCCATATTTTATGGGTTGAACATGGGTATCAACCCTTATTTTACCCATTTAAAAAATCACTCTTCCAATCCATTAAAATATGAGCGGGTTAGATGGGTTACCAAAATATGGGCTCATCTTACCGACACTAGCACAGTGTAACACACATTTTAGGGGGGAAATGTTTTCTAGCAAAAAAAATTAAACCGAAGACCTTTGATTAAGGATGAAATATGAGTTGGAGTGAGAGTGAAATAAGTAGGTTTGCACCGGTGATTTTGGAAATCAGTCAACTGATTCTAGCATGTTCTAAAAGTTACAATGATAATCTTTGGTTATCATCATTTGGAAACATCTTTACAATTGATAGATGACTAAATAACAGTAGCTCGTGGCTCATGCCATAATTTTCCATTTTTTGTGTGACCCATAATGACCACCAAAACTAACCAAGTATTGATAAAAGGGAAACAAAACATACCAATAAAAAAAAATTGACTTAATTTTTTTTAATGATCTACTATTTCAAATTTATCAATTTAATTAATTTAAATTTGTGTCAAATAAAGATCATGATTGACCAACTTTCACATTAAATTGTAGGAGTATATTTTTGTACGTACTCCAAAGGTATGAATATTACATCAAACTAATTTTACATGACTCGTGTTTTTCTTTTGTTTTTTAGTACTTAAGATGGTATATAAAACGTGCTTGAATATGTGAATGTTAATTTAGATAAATTTGTTCTTATCACTACTTGTTTGATTTACTATGCTTGAGGATTTCGAAAGAAACCTCTCTATCTACGCTAAGATATTGATTATTCCATTTTTTATTCTATATTATTTCTGATGAAAAAAAAGTATCAAAAGTTAAATAAGTGCCTTCGAACTGCGGTTAACTGTTTAAGTATCATGCAGTGATGTCAATTTTAATTCGACAAAAGTAATATATCTGATCAAAAGTCCAGTATAATAGGCAGTGAACGTGGATCTCAAGGGGCCTTAGTCTCTACTTAGTTGAATGATAATGAAGTATGCGTGAGCTCGTAAACACAAAATTCTCCACCAATCTTACTTGTTATCAGATTACACATCTATTGATAACAATCATTTTTACTTATTATAGCTATTAGAATATTTATACTACTATCTCCGTTTAAAAAATAACCTAGTTTGACTTGAAACGGAGTTTAAGAAAAGAAATAAGACATTTTAATCTTGTGATTTTAAATTAAAGTTATGTCAAATGTATCAAAATACTCTTTAATCTTGTAGTCTTAAACATACCACGCGAAAAATTGAAGTTAAAATGTAGCCAAAAAAAGAAAAAAGAAAAAAGAAAAAAGATCATTCTTTTTTTAAATAGAGGGAGTAACATATATAAAACTCAAAGCTCATTAAATGTTAATTGTGATTTCCTTATTAGTAAATTGTCTACTTGAATACACTATGTTTACCCAAGAAAATCCCAAGTGCTTGTTATAATTATGACAAGATATTAGAAATGTTTAGTATAATAAAATCTCGCTAAATCAATATTCAGTAAATTAATAATTTTTTTAAGATAATATTTTTTTCAGTTTCGATTAGGGCCAATGGAAAATTTTTTACATATTTTTAATAAGATAATATATTTTCAGAAAATCCCTATATAAATATATGGTCCAATCAATATTATAAATTAATAATTTTTTAAAAGTATAAATATATCTAAGACAATTTAGTGAAATATGATTCTATTGTGTTTTGATTTTTGTTAAAATTTAAATCTAGGTGAATTTCATCTTTAACATTTCTTATTGCATTGAAAAGTTCTGGTGTTGTCTTTTCGAACTACATCATAAAATTGTGAAGAGTTCTAGATGTGATAATTGTCTCCTAATGTGTAATTGGTTCTAAAAGTATTGTACAATGAATCATACAAATACATTGTACTTTATGTATAAAAAAAATGTAAAAAAATTATTTTTTTTCATGTGAATTCAATAAATATGATACATAATTCAGTAAATAAAAGAATTTTGATGTATTATACTATATGTATAATAAATTTATTTTTTCATGTGACTTTAATAAATATGACAAATAAATTAGTAAAAATATAATGAATTTACACTCTGTTTGGATAATTGTTACCTATTGTATTGTATTGTATCGTTACTATACCTACAATGTTTGTTTTGATTGTTACTTAAAACATATTGTATTGTATAGTTAAATTTCGTTGTTACGTAACAACGAAAACCCCTATTTTATGGACCAACCGATTTGGTGTGTTTCCATTGTTACTTAATTTCTTTTTCCAATTATATTTTTACATAATATTTCAAAATATTATTTTACCCTTTACCTTATATTATTTAATTCTAGCTAAACTTCTTATCGTAGAATAATTAAGAATATTTTAGTTAATTTATAAATTACAATACAGTACGATACAATCAAATCAAATAATTAAAATGTTATTAAATAACAACAAACAATACAATCTAGTCAAATATTATATTTATCATACAGTACATTATAATAAAGTATAATATAATATATTATAAAATAATGAATAACAATTACCCAAACAGAGTGTTAATGTAATCAAAATTTAGTTCAGTGAGGTTTTAATGTAACGACAAAACCATTCTGTAATTTCAAAACCTTCCCCATCCATATATATATATGTGTGTATATATAAGAATCCCACTATTTCACGCCAAAACAAAGATTTCTCTTCTCTTTTAGCTCTCTTTCTTTTATCTCTCTCTCCTTTAAAAAATCAAATCTTTGTCCTCTTTCAACGTACTATCTTACATAAAAGAACACACCCTTTTTTCACCTGAACAAAACAAGCTCAAAAAAAGAAAAAAAAATGTCTTCAGAAATCGGCGACAGACGTCCGGCGAGACTGCCGGCGCCGGTAAACGGAACACGGCCATCGGAACCAGAGAACTTGCCGTGTCCACGTTGTGATTCTACAAACACAAAGTTTTGTTATTACAACAACTATAATCTTTCTCAACCTCGTCATTTCTGTAAGTCCTGTCGCCGGTATTGGACACGTGGCGGCACCTTAAGGAACGTCCCCGTCGGCGGCGGTACACGGAAAAACTCCTCCCATAAACGCCCCCGTATCAACTCCAGTACCGGCAACGTTCAAGAACACGCCAACCCGATCACAATGATGGGATCCGAGTCGGGTTTGGGTTCCGGGTCGGGTTCGATGTCGTTGATGGGTTGTGAAGTGAACTTGAATGAGTCAGTACATGAAGGTGGAAATGGTACGTCGTCGTTTACTTCGTTGTTGACAGCTCCAGTGGGGGTGGGGGTGGGTGGGTTTGTGCCATTAGGTGGATTTGGGCTTGGGTTAGGCGGGTTCGGGCTTGGGAATCTTGATTGGCCCATGGAGCAAGTAGGCGGCGGAGGGAATGGCGGTGACGGCGGTGAAAATGACAAGTGGCAGCTGAGTGACGGTGAGATGGAAGGCGGCGGTGGTGGCGGCGGCGGAGGAATAGGTGGTGATGATGAATGTTTTGGGTGGCCTGATCTTGCTATTTCAGCACCAGGGACAAGTCTTAAATGAAGTAGAAATAATATTATATTATATTATATACTTGTTTCATGGAAGAAATCGAAAAAAAGGAGGTGTTTTTTTTTTTTTTTTTGCACTTTATTAATGGTCTGTTGTCTTTTTGCAAGTTTTTTGGGGTTGCATGGATTGGTTTGGCTGTAGGAATTTTTACTAAAAACTGTTACAGTAGGCAAAGCTATTTTTGCTTGTTGGGCAAGTGTTGTTTTTGTTGTTGTAAATGTATTTTTGGGAGTCTTCCTTTTTCTTTTTGACAGAAATAGGTCCCAACTTTCATGAAATGAACAATATATTTTCTTTGTTAGTTTTCATGAATGTTGTTGTTCTACATGCGCGATTAAATAGAACAACTAAAGATTCATATGGTTGCATTACGCATAACTTAATAACTTGAAATTTGAGTGATTTTACTGTTTTGTTGTTTGTTTTGCCTTCTTCCATGGTGTGGTTATGTTGCAAAAAGTGTAGTACTTTTGGTGATTTTACTTTTTTTCTTTCTTCTTCTATTGGGTTTGATGGGTCCTTCAGTTTATTACTAAAAATGTTCCTATAAATCAAAAGTATTTTGTAGGTTTGTTAGGGAGAGAGGGGGCCTGTTAGGGTTGTGTTATTTCAAAAAGCCTTTTTTCCAGTTTTGAAGGGGGCCCTTCCCTATCCCTTCGACCCCTGTCACATAATTGTCTAAAGTTGACTTTTAAAAAACTCCTGATTATATGACATTATCTTTTTGATAAGTGTTAAATGTTTGAGTGAGTGATTAATGAAGTTGGTTGAGAACGATGAAATTTTATATTTAAATTTGGGTAGAAGCGTAGGTGATTTTGTTGCCATTTTGTTCAAACTTTGATAGATAGGAATTATTTGATGATGAATAACAAATATTTTATAAAACTATCCAAGATAAGTGCAAGTTATTTGAATATTATAATTTTATCATTGAAGTTATTCAGATGATAAGTATTCTTCGATCTATAAGACGGACAATTATAAAGTAGTAGTAATTAATGAATGGCTCCAAAATGAAGTGTCAGCGCCTGGGTTGATATGCACCACCGACCGTGGCCGATATAATGGAATTTGATACCCAATCCCAAACGAATTTCTTACTTTTGCATCCCAACTTTTCCACTAACAATTAGATTCCATTAATATATAGGATAGTATATTTCCTCCGTTTCATATTAATAAAATATTTGTCATTTTACAATACTAAAATAGAACTAGTTGAATATTTCATTTAACTCTTATAACTAATTCTTCTTTCTATTCTTTTTGGTTTTAAACGATTTTGTAAATTTCAAAAAGTTTTCTAAAAGATAAATTAGTAAAACTGTCATTCTTGTTCATGATTTCTTAATGAATACTATATAAATAAAAGAAAATAGATAACTACTATGAAACAAATAAAGTATTGTATAAACTTTTTTCTCGGCTAAATATGGATCGACACTGCAGGATGAGGGTGGCGTTTCTAACACATTTTTTCTCTTACTTTTAGAAGTTCTAACTCAAAACCTCTAATCAATGATAGAAATTTTTTATTCATTTTATCACAACTCTATTTTGATTCCTGTGCAAGCTAGCCTAATTATGTACGTTCGTTTCCAATTTGCTTCTATACTACTTCCTCTATCCTATATTAGATAGACATCTTGCTAAAGTATTTGTATGTCCCATATTATTTGATTACTTACTAAATCAAGATATAATTAATTAAATTTCTCATTTTATTCCTACAATTAATATAATCTTTGGAAGTTTAAACAAATTTGGAGGATCTATTTTTTTTTTCAAGAGGCTAACTAATATAAATAAAGGACAAAATAGTAAGTTAATCAATCTATTAATAATTTTTTTAATAACAGTGTAAAATAGAAAATATCCACCTAATATTGGACGGAGGTATGCATGCATGAGTTTGTCAATGTTCATACCAAAAGTCTTCTGCAATACACAGAATAAAACCACTAAATTAATTGAGAAGCAAATTTAAAATTTTGAGTTTATGGGTGTGTTTGGTACGAAGAAAAATGTTTTTCATGGAAAATGTTTTCCCGGAAAACAAGTAGATTTTGGACTTATTTTCTCATGTTTGGTTGGTGAGTAGAAAATATTTTTCGAAAAAGATTTTTTAGTGTTTAATTAATGAATGAAAAATGTTTTTGAGAAAATATCTTTTATTTTTATTAGAGAGTAGAAAATAATTTTTGAATTGAAATTGAAAATATTTTTTAAAAATAAACTTAGATTTTTTTTGGGTGGGTGGTGGGGTGGTGGGGTGGGGGGGGGGATAGGAGTGGGATGGGGTAAAAAATTGAAAATATTTTTTAAAAACAAACTTAATTTTTTTTTGGAGGGAGTGGGGGTGGTGTGAAAAAAAAAAAATTGAAAATTGAAAATAGTTTTTAAAAATAAACTTAATTTTTTTTTTGGAGGGGTGGGAGATTGATGGGGGTCGCGGGTAGGGGGTGAGGTGAAAAAATAAAAATTTAAAATTGGAAATATTTTTAAAAAAGAAACTTTAAATTATTATTTTTGGGAGGGGGGTGGTATGGGGCTGGCCGTGTGGGGGTTGGGTGGGGTGGGGTGAAAAATAAGAATTTGAATATGAAAATATTTTTTAGAAACAAACTTTAATTTTTTAATTTTTTTGGAGGGATTGGAAGGGGGGATGGTGGGGGGAGGGGTCGAGGATGGAGTGGGGTGGTTTGAAAATAAAATTTGAAATTGGAGATATTTTTTATAAACAAACTTAAATTTTTTTGGGGGTAGGGGGGTGGGGTAAAAAATAAATTATAATATGAAGTTGGAGAAGAGTTTTGAAAAATGTTTTCCTTAATTTTTGAAGGGAAGTCATTTTCCTTAAATTTGAAGAAAATGAGTTGATTTGAAAAACATTTTACCCAACCAAACATGAAAAAATTGGAAAACATTTTTTTTCGAAAAATGTTTTCCTTCATACCAAACACACCCTATGAGTTATGATTTTAGAAAGATTTGAACCGAACCTCAATACTAATCGAGAGATGGATTCAAACTCTTAAGAGTATAAATCTAGAAAGAAAAAAAAAAGGATTCTTGCTAGATTTTTTTTTTTATATATTAAATGATTTCTTAATCCAAATACAAAATTTTGATTAGAATTATTGAATTCTAGCAAACTTGTAGCTCGAACCTAGCTTCGCCCATGCAGGGGCAGAGCTATAATTCAGTAACAATGTCATAGTTGTTTTCAAGTAATAATTACAATAAGGTGTAGATGTCAAAGTTAACATTTGATTCAACAACAATATACCCAATGTAATCCTACAAATAGGATTTGAGAAGGGTAGCGTATACGAAAACTTTACCTGAAGCAAAATTAATATTGATGAGAAACTAAAATCATCTACTCTACAAAGACTAATTCCATCTCAATATCCTTCTTCAATACTGCAAATGCAACAATGCAAGAACAACTTTTGAACATGAAATTGCTTTATATGTTAGCTTTATATGTATAACAGTAGGGATATATGTGAGTCATTTGTATAACAGTAAATGTATATATGAATCACTTTCATAACGAGGAGGAGTATATCAATTCTAAATGACAAAGTTGAGGGGTATATCAAACCCTTTTCCCATTTATCAAATAAAGACCTAGTGCATTAACAAGTTGAAAACTGAATCATCCTGCAAACATTCTAGTTTCTATAAAATGTGACTTTCGAGCGATTTCATAAGCATACAACACCAAATTTCAAAGGTAGAAAACAAGAACATGTTTGTACCTATGGCTTTTATACATATTCTTCTTCCTCCCCTCCCCCCCGAACCAACCAACACACACGCACACGTTGTTTCTCCACTTCACCTTTTCTCAAGCCTAGAATAGAAACACACATTAAAAACTACTACTAGCAAATACAAGTTTACATACCAAAGCGCGCTTTTTATTCATGATCTATCTCTTAGTTGGGCTTGAAGAACCGGAGTTTAAGTCCATTATTGACCATACTCCAAATTCCTCCAATTGAAAAAGCCAAGCTAAAAGCAACTCCTAACCATCCAAGGATCCAGTTGAAATACCAGTTAAAGCTGTACTTTGTAGGCTTCTTTATGAGGACCCACATGAAGCAAGGATAAGCAAACGTTACCGGAAGTGTGAGTCCTCCTAACAACCCTGCAAGACTTGACAGGAACGGAAGTGCAACTCCGATGAAGAATGAAACAAATCCGAAAAATATTCTGAAACCGGAACGGACCCAAATTGAGCATGGTTTGTTGGTACGGCTAGTGTATCCAGCTTCGAAACTGTCAAATGCTGGCATTGAGTATATTTGGAAGCTACTCAAGCAGTTGAACACGACTAAGAGAAATGTCATGGCGAGAAGTCCTCTTGGAATATCGTGAATGTGGAAGGCGTATAGTGCACTTAGCATTCCTCCAGATGGCATCTGTAAGGAATTAATAAGTACGCGAGCAAATCAGAAATAATGAGGAAAACATATATAGTCTGAGCAGAGGAGTACACCGTTCTACTAAGGATACATGGCCGTGGAAACAAATGCAACAAGAAAAAAGGTTTGTGGATAGTAAAGTAGCAAGAGTACTACCAAAACATATACTCCTTCCGTCCCAATTTAAGTGTTTTAAATTGATTGGGCACAAAGTTTAAGCAATAAAATGAGACTTTTGAATCGTATGGTCTTAAATTAAAGATGTGTGTAGTCCTTTAAATCTTATGTGCTTAAACTTGTCATGTGGAATATTGGAATTGAAAAACTTACTAAATATAGAAAGAAACATTGTTTTTGGGATAGACAAAAAAGGAAAGTAAGACACTTAAATTGGGACGAAGGGAGTATTATAATACTTTGGAAAAGCTTTTTCAAACGCAAAAATGAAATATATATTACACTGTCAAAATAATGTGACTGATATCAGTAGTTATGATTTGGTTGGCGGAAATAACAGAAAGATAGCTATACTTACAAGGCTTCCATAAGCCCA